GCTTCCCCACCCCAGCAGGATAGAGACAACCAAGAAAACTGCCTTTTGGTAGGATGAGTTTTTCATTCAGAATGTGCTGAATCAACAAATAGGGAGGATGACAAAATATTTGCTATCTGTATCCTATGAACATTGAGTCCACCAGGCAAAATGGGCAAGTTTATAGTAGAGAAATAAGGCATACAAAGCCCCCTCCTCATAAATCAGGGCTGAAATCTCTCTCTCTCTCTTTTTTTTTAAAAAATGATTTTCCAGCCTGTTAACACCACATGTTCAGTATATGATCATTTAGGGACAAGGATGGGGAAAGCAGCAGGAGACCTTTTTCAATCCCCCTAGCCTATTTTTTAAAAAAGAAAAACTTTTTTGTTGAAGTTCAAAGGTCTGGTTTGCAATTTGCAAACAAAATATAATCCCAACAGAGCATCTCTGCCTATCGCAATAATTCAAACTGAAGTTCCAGAGGAATCACCATGATATGAAGGTTAAAGAAGAAAACTAGATAGGCAATGTGCATACGAAGTATAATGACCTATCACAGCACTCCTACTCATACTTTTATACCTGGGCTTCACCCACGATACATTGTATAGTATCAGCAGAAGTAGATATAGGGATAGACCAAATATGATATCTTTGTGGTAAGCTAATGCTATTGAAAGGCCTGTTTGTGTGGTAAGCAATGTTGAAATTAGCTCTCATAATATTTTTTACCTTCTAAATACATAATGTAGACTAGTGTTTTTTCTCCACTGTTGAGTACTTACAGCCATGGATGCAACCGGTACTAAACCCTTCCCTTTATTCACATGACTCCTGTCTCAGAGACTGTGCCTTTACAGATTTTCCTGTAGTTTGCTGTCACATTACCAATTGTGTGACTGAGGTGATCTGTGAGAGATTGCCTGTCTTTGGTTTCTCGTGCCAGCATTCTCCACTTTGCCATTCCACCTGCCTTCCTGGGGTGCCAAACATCTCCCAGTACCCACCTGCCAAATATCTCCCTGTGCCTTCTCTGTAATAACCCCCGAGTTCTTCAGGTGCTAAATATAAGGCTCTGTGACCTCCCAACAACAGCCTGAAATTCTGCATCCTTCCAATGGGTTAAGGATGCCATCATAGAACAGTGATTTGTCCTACCCAGATCCGGGGTTGTGTGTGTCACATCTAGATTTTTTGTTCTATTGAAACCAAGAGGAATGAACAGTGAGCAGAATAACAAAAGCAGATGTGTATTTTGATGAAAAAATAAACATTGGTTTTTGGGTTTTTTTAAAAAAAAGGAGTGGGAGAATGAACCACAAATGAGAACCAAGTGATTTTTTGCACACACCTTTAATTGACATGATGTCAATCAAACAGCATAGGAGTGTTCAGTTCATCTTCTTAGGTCAGTGTTGTAGTAAAGGGGGGGGACCCACACTTCTCCACTCCAAATTGCTCCCTTCCATTTTGTTTTGTTTTGTTTCATTTAAAAGTGTTTTGTTCCTTCCTCCTCCTAACCAGACTAGTTGAATTATCCCCTGTGCTGTAGCACTTATCCTCAAAGTGAGGTTATAAAACATGGCTTGTAAAACATTCATCATCCTTCCCTGGAAGTAACAGCACTGTTGACACCTCATCCCAGGTGAGCCACAAAGCAGATTATCCACACAGGTTTCTGGATTGCTTCATATTGTTCTCTTAAGTGTCGCCTGTCTTAATGTAATACACTGGGATTATACCATATCATTCCATCAGATACGTTTCCCTTTACCAACTACCCCAAAGTGTACTATCATTGTCTCCTGTCAAAGAAAAAGAATATATCATTGATGCAGTATAGTGGTTACAGTGCTGATGCTGAGGGAATTGCTACCACTGGGTTGGGAAATTCCTGGAGATTTGATGGGTGGATCCTGGGACGAGCGGGGATTGAGGAGGGGAGGAACTTCAGCGGGGTATAATACCAAACAGCATTCCCTCCGACGCAGCCATTTCCTCCTGAGGAACTGGAGAACAGTTGAAATTCTTGGAGATCTCTGCGCCCTACCTGGAGGAAGGCAACCCTAGCCAGGGGGGGAGAGAAGATTAAAATCCATGCTCATCATGAAACTCACTGGGTAGCCTCGGGTCAGACAGCCCTTCCCCACATACCCATCTTTCTTTAACAGTATTGGTTAAGAGTTTTCCTGTACCCAGCCATCCTGATCATAAAACGAGTTTATATGCTGGCCCAAAGTACTTGTTCTAGTTATATCTGACACATATGTTATGTCCCTTTCTGGATTCAACCAGTCTAGCATTGCTTGTTAACACTGCAGTAACCTTGAGACTATTTCAGTAACACAGTTTACATGGGGCTGGCTCTTGAAGACAACCTGAAAACAGCAAGTGGACCAAAATGTGGGAGACCGACTATTCACTGCAACTAGCTACTTTGTACATAGGGGGGCCAGGTCTCCTGTTATGGCTAGAGACCTTCTGCCTCCTACTGCTGCCACCCACTGCTGTCCAGTACAGTCACGAGAGAAATTTTCAAGAAAAATTGCCATTACAGCAACACTGTGACATCACTTGAGATCACATAACCAGGGGTGACATCATGTGTCACTACAATGCTCTAGCTAGAGCATCACATCAATGGGTGATGTCACTTTCGATTATGCAGCCGTGACATGGTGGTGTAATGCAGCATCGTGTGATGCTGAGTGATGCCAAGGCCCAGCCCCAAAAGCTCCCAGGGGTTATTTATTTCTTCAGCTCTTGGATGGCAAGCCTGTTTTTACATATAACTCCTGTTCTGAAGTCCCCGTATTGGTTACCTGTTTGTTTTTAGGAAAGCGTTCAGTAGCACTCAGGGGTCTTGTTGTAGAAAAAGAGCTGCCGGAGCTCATTAGCATAACTCATTAGCATAACTTATTTGCATATGCCACGCCCCCTGACATCACCGGAAGTGACAGAAGGCCACACCCCCTGACATCACCGGAAGTGTGTCAGAAGGCCCGGCTACTTACCCTCCTGCTTCATCCTCATTCCCAAACGGAATGAGGATCGAAGCAGAGGGCGGGGTAAAGAAGGGGGCGGGGCTTCACCACGTGACCGCCCCGCCCCCTAGAGGTTCTCTTCCGGAGCTCCGTACCTGAGAGCTCCCCCCCGACTAGAGCCCTGGTAGCACTTATTGATAACAAAGCTGGCTGGTTTGTCTTGCTTTGGCTATTATGGATTTGTCTGGTTTTAATACATTCTGTTCTCAACGGTTGTTTTAAATTTTTTTTTTGCAGGACACTTGGAGTTTATTTTAGGAGAAAAGTAAAAGTAAAAGGCATTTAAAATAAATAATCTTGGCAAATTAATGCAGTTGATATAGTAGCCAACTTGTGCTAGGCTTACCACCTTTGCATTTAGCCAGACTTATCTAAAGAATGAAGTGTGTTAATATCAAGTGTGGCCCATTCCAGGGTAGCTTTAGAAACTTCCTAAATGATCAAACCAGTCTGATACATTTTGAACTCTTACTTTATTGGCTAATACTGCCACTGTGGGTTTTTTTGTAGCCTTTCATGCCACAGAATCTGGTTATGTCATATGTCTTATTATAGTAAATTAAGTAAGGTTCTTCCTGTCAGCACTAATGAGCTGGCATTTCAGCACAGTATCAAGAATTTTCTCTTTGCGATAAAATGATCCTCCTTAAGGCATTCATGCTTTAAAAACTTGATGGCCGTTTCCACTCTGTGAATGGCTATTAAACAAAGCTGAGTGAATTACAGACGTTTCTTAAGAATGCTTGATGGGATATTTTTGCTTTCCGGAAATGTCTGACTGCTTGAGCTGAACTTTCATGGATGTTAATGGAAAACAAATTGTGCATTAGCAGAAGGCAGAGGTCTGGTAGCATGTTTTATTGGAATGTAATGTTGGATGCACAAGTTGCTTTTAAAGGTGCAGTTGAACAAGAAATCGATCGCTGGTTTATAGCTGGTCCTATCTACACCTCTGGGATACATATGCGGCCAGCTGCAGCTGAACATTAGAGGATCCAGGAGCGGTGTCTTGAACAGATGACTCAGTATAGCAATTTTAATTTCTCTGTGACTTTACATGTTGTTATTTTTATCAGTTTTGGTTCAATTAATATGATTGCTTTTGTGATTATTCTTGTGTGTCTTCTATGCCATTTATACTAGAGACACCACAAACATCACAGTGGGCAGGTTCAACAAATGCGAACACGAGGGTATTGGTATTTTTTATTACTGACTTAGATTGCTTTATTATGTTTTTATCATTCTGATTTGTTTTTATTGTATTCTTAACTTTGTTTTACTGTTGTGAGCTGCTTCAAGCAGGTGTGTAGAGGTGGCATACTGTTGGGATTCTTTTAAGTAAGTCAGCAGAGTATTAAGAGACTGAGTCCATGGTGTTTATTAAAATATAAAGCTTTACTATAAACCTAACATGGGGAAAAGGTACACAGGATATGAAAATAACAAAGAGCTAATATGGCTACATCCTTAAAGCTAAAGGTAAAACGGGAAGAGAATGGCGTCTCCTTCTCAGTCAGAACAAAGATCGGGAGGAGAAGCCAATATGCTAAATACTTGACACATTGGTTTCCAATCAGACTAGCAAGTTAGCTCCAAAGTTCCCGGCATTCTATTGTCAAAACAGATTGGTTACAAACAAACATGTGACTTAACAAACACAATTTAAGAAGTAAAACGCTTGCTGCTGTAACAACAACGAACAGCCACTATGGCTGTTTGAGACCCACCGCGGCCGGGGAGAGCTCCCGGCCCTAGTCCCAGCTCCTGTCCACCCAGCAGTTCGAAAGCATTAAAATTGCAAGTAGATAAAATGGGTACCTGCCCTAGGTGGCAGGGGACACCCTCCTCCTCGTGGAGTATGCAGCGGGAGAACTGGTGGCATCAACGGAGTGGCGGAATGGTGGCGAACGACTTGGATGACCAGCGAGCACAGCGTTGAGCGGTGGAAGAGGCGGAGCCATGAGAGACGCGATGACGTGGTCGGCGCGGCGGAGCCGATTGGACATAGCCGGAGCTGCAGCCGACACGATGCCACATCAGGATGGCCTGCTGAAGGAAGCCGCCGACTGGGAGACCTGCTCCAGGGCACCGGAGAATTCGACACTCGAGGCCGCTGGAAGGAGCCAACAAAGATCAGCTAACACTGCTGCCTGGGTGCTGGTAGGAAGCCCCGCCCCCTATGTACTATGTGGCCTTAGGTAGGTTAAAACTGAATTTGGAACCCCTATGTAAACCGCTCAGAGAACCTTTGGGGTTAGGAGCGGTATATAAATTGAATGTAAATAAATAAATAAATAAATAACCCTGTAAATACTGAAGTGTTTTGACTTGTAACCAACACCCCTTCTCAAGTTACAACACTGAAGTCATGCAAGTTCAGTCTTTCACGTAGAGTCTCAAACTTCTTCTTCTCGAGTGGCTTGGTGAATATGTCTGCGATCATCTCCTCAGTAGGACAGTATTGGAGTTCAATCAGTCCTTGGTCTTGCAGGTCTTTCACATAGTTACATTTGGGAGCGATGGTCTTATTCTTGGATTTGGTGCTCTCACCTTTGCAGACAGAGATGCAAGCTTGATTGTCTTCAAACAGTATTATTGGTTTTGGTTCATCTATTTCAAAGTCTTTCAGTAGATGAATAATCCAGTAAAGTTCATAGCTGGCACTTTGCGCTGATACGCATTCAGCTTTCGCGGTAGAAATAGCTACAACAGATTCCATTCAATCAAGCTGTCTCCATAGTAGAACAAGTCCATTCAATCAAGCTGTCTCCATAGTAGAACAAGTATCCACTTGTAGATTTGTTATCAGGTGTGTCTTTGCCCCAGTTGACATCCATAAATCCAGTCAGTCTTGGGTCATCACAGGCTGAGATTTTAAGTTTGTAGTCCAAAGTTCCTTTTAGATATCTTGCCAGTCTCTTTATAGCTTTCCAGTCATGGATAGTTGGTGAGCTGGCCTTTCTGCATAATAGTCCAACAGCTGAAGTTATATCTGGTCTGCAGATTGTGCTCAAGTATAATAATTTTCCAATTGTGGATCTGTACTCATGGTTGTCTTTAAGTAGTGGTCCATCTGTATTCTTGAGGTAATCCTTTTCATTGGTTTGGAATGTTTCATTCCCACAGATTCAATAAAGTCCATGATCTTTTGTTTTTGGCTCAAAAGAAAACTTCCATCCTCAGTCCTTTCCAAGGTAGTACTTTATGTGTCCTAATTGTTTCACTTCAACTTCTTTGTTCAGTTCATCTGCTATTTCTTGTACATCTCCTTGGTCTTGACAACAAATAACCAAGTCGTCAACGTAAATGAGTATGTATTGATATTGTCCATTTTTAAGTCTTGAGAACAAGCAAGGTTCTGCTGTTCCTTGTTGAAAGTTCTGTTTTTGTAACAGCTTAGTCAGTTTGTCATTCCATGCTTTTGCTGCTTGTTTTAATCCATAAACGCTTTTGTTGAGTTTGCACACTAGGCCTTCTTGTCCTTCCGTTGAAAATCCTTCTGGTTGTTCCATGTAGATCTCTTCAGTCAGGTCTCCATTGAGAAAAGCAGTTTTGACATCCAAATGTTCAATATGCATG